AAATAATAATAAAAAAATAAATAAAGTGTAAAAAATAGTACTAGTTCGTATAGGTTGCTTTGTGATTTTATTTCAATTTTATTTATTATTATTATTATTTATTTTATTTTATCTATATTTTATTTTAGTATATATATTCTTCTTAGTTTTGCTTTAAATAATAAAATAATAATAATAATAATAATTGATCAATCCCATACATGGTAGAGCAACCAAAAAAAAAGTTCCATATGGATCAATCCCCTTCCACTTTCTCACATTATACAGTGAAAGGAAATTTTTTTTTGCATAAAATTATGGATCCCTCACTTAGGGTGATCGAGCCCCTTAACTTGCCCTTCCCATATTTCTCTCGCCTCCATTCGTCAACCCCAAATAAATCACTCTTCTTCTCCAATCACTGCCCAATCTTCAACCTCCACTCCCAAGTTATTCGTCCAACCCTCACTGTTCTTCTTCACTTCCGCGGCGCCATGGTGTTCGCTCTCCGTCAGGTTGAGTTTCGCCGGCGCCATGGGTTTCGGTTGGGTGCGATTGGGGAAGTGGGGTTGCCGATTTGGTAGGGGTGTAGGTCTGAAAAACGGCACCATAATCCACGGTTTAAGACTCGGCCACGATTTCGCATCTGGGTCGTTTCTCTTGTCGCGGCTGGGTCGCTGTTCTTCGCTGATTTTTCTGGGCTGCTGGTTCTTTTCCGGCGATTTGACTGGGTCATTTCGGCGAGGTTGTGAATCGCCGTGTCTCGCCGGCGTCCCGGCTGGATTCTCTCTGGCGATTCCGGCTTGGTCCTCTCCGGCGAGTTTATAGGTCTAAACAATAAATAAAAAAAAAGCAGCAGAGCGCCGTTTTCTGAGTTTCTTCTCCGGCGTCGCGGCTGGTTCTTCCAACGGCGTCGTGGCTGGGTCGTCATTCTCCGGCGAGCTTGTGGCTCACTGTTCTTCTCTGAATTCGGCTCGGGTCTTTCCCGGCCATCGCGGCTGGCTTCTTCTCCGGCGTCGCGGCTAGTTATTCTCCGATCGCAACTGGTTCCTTCCGGCGATTTCGGCTTCGCCGTCTTCCATTTGATAAAAAAAAAAAAATTAAATACTAATAAAAAAAATACATAACAAAAAAAATAATAAATAAATTAATAAATAATAAAAAAAAATTAAATAAAAAAATACACAAAAACAAAAAAATAAAATAAAATAAATAAATAATAAATAAAATTGAATTGTTGATTTAAAAAAAAAAATTTGATGATTTAAAACAAAACAAAAAAAAGAAAAAAAAAGTTGCATTTTTTGATTTAAAAAACAAAAGATGCATTGATGATTTAAAAAAAAAAAAAAAAGAAAAAAAAAGAGAAGAAGTTGCATTGATTGATTCAAAAAATCTAGATTGATTATTTAAAAAAAAAAAAAACCAAATTCTGAGTAACATTCCGTCTTGGTAGAGACGTTAAATTTAGCTCATTTTTTTTATTTATTTTTATTATTTTGTAGGTCGTACATACATGATGTTTTTCTTTGTTTCTTTAAAAAAAAAAAAAAAATACCACAAAAATTAAAAAATATGTGTTATCGGTATGCCTTTATGATTGGATATGCATGTTTTAATCTTTTATAAATGGTTTAATCTCTTATCTCTTTGTAACGTGTTATCTATTGCTTTGGACTGTATACATTACTTGTCCCATGTGATATTTGATGTGAGTTTGCTAGTATGGTTATACAGACAGGTTTTTGCGTCCAAGTTTGGGGGAGACATCTTTCCTACTGGATTATTGTCAGATTTCATAGTCTTTGCCATCACAGTATACTCTTTCCATCATTTTTCATTATTCTCATTGCACATTGAGGACAATGTACAGTTTAAGTTTGGGGGTAAGGTCGATCATTATGATTCATTCTATTTTAAGTTAAGCTTTAAATGCATGATGAGATTTGAGACGTGTTTGGCAATAATTTAGAACTTTTGAAGCATAATGCCTTTGAAAAACAAGTTATTAGAGTCTAATACTTCTTGTATGCTCTAGGACGCCATTTAGGGGTAAATTTCAAATTTTGATAACATGTTTGCTTTTGTGGTAGACATCATCTTATTGGTTGAAAATGTTTTGAGAGTTGATTCTAGAATTCTACACTTGCACTTGTGCACACTAGCATTCAATTTGTGGGGTACATGCTTAGTTGATTATTGTCTTGGTTTATCCCAATTGAGCTAGTATGCTTTGAAAGCTTTCATTTTTGATAAAATGACCTTGTAAGGAAAATAAATAAAAGCACTCACCAAAGAGAAAGAAAAAAAAAAAAAGAAAAAAGAAAAAAAAAAAACAAACTGCATTCTTTCAACATGTCAACTGATTAAAAAGGAAGACAAGGAAAGAATGTAAGATGTATGATTAGTTTGAGTTCGTAGCCTAGCCATTCCGAGTCATTACACCCTTAGGAGTGTCTTTACACTTAACGCCCTAAGACCATCTGGTTTGGGAGTCGTTGGCTCAACGCTTGTAACATGGGGTGATTAGAGAGCTTAAGGAACTTGGACATTGCACATGGTCATACATAAAAAAATAAAATAAAAAAAAGAAAAAAAAAATGTTTGATTGAACAACAAGGTTCATTCAATGTCTTGATGTCTGGTACTATATCTGTATGCTAGTTTGAGGGTAAGGCTATGCTATTACTTTGATTTGCTAGGATAGCAACACATTTTGATGCCGGTTCACTCAAAAAGGATAATAGAATTGATTCAATTTGCATGATTAACTTGCTTGATGTGTGAATGACCATTTTTACTTACATGATATTGAAATGTTGATAATAGCTTAAAAATGGTAGAAATTTACATACTTGAAGTAGTTTACTTTCAACACTTGTTTGATATGTGTCGTTGCTTCTCAAGTAAGAAAGAGCTGTTGATGTTTGTGGGTATCATTTCTGGAAACCCTTACGAGACTTCACTCGTCCACTAGAGGTAACCTAGGGGTTTAAAAGGCTTGTTGCATATGCTAAATGTAACCGTGATCCCTACGAAAGTGGTGTTATCTTTATTTGCTTTATTAGTTCATAGTTGTATATATGTTTGTTTCATTCTCATATACTGTAGTTCATTACTAGGGACTAGCAATATCTAAGTTTAGGGGCGTGATAAGTGCTTAAATGTTGCACATTTTAGCACCTAAACTAGGGTATTTTAGTCATTGCATCTATCTTATTTTCATATTTTAGTTATAATTTATGTTTTTGTCAATTTTAGGTCAATAAAGTTCAAATGGACTAATTTTGGTTCACTAAAGCCTTTTTGGAGTCAAGTAAAGACATTCAGAAAAAGTTCAGAAAATGGCAAAAATAGGTCGCAGCCCATTGCTCGTATACTGTGTTTATTCTTCAAAAGCGGTCAATCTCGGGTCTTTGATGATGTTCCCAAAGATGAAGAAGCAAACCAATTAGCCTGGGGCAAAAATAGAGCTAAATAAGGTTTAAAGGAAATTTCCAACTCTGAGGGATCGATCCCCCACTATTCACAGAACTAAAAATGCCCTTGGTGGATCGATCCCCAAGGCTGTGGGATCAATTCCCCAACCCCTGGCAGCATTACGGGATTTTGTCTTTTGGGCTTATTTTTGTAACTTATGAGCTTTAATAGGGTTTGTTACTTAAGGCCCGGTGAGCCATTAGTTTAGGATTAGTTTTTCATTATTTTAATGTGAATATTATTATTTGGATTATTAAGTTTTTTTTTTTAGTCTGTATCGATATATTCTCTCTGGAGAACGAGAGGAGGGTGAGAAGGGAGGAAAGAGTAGAGGTACAAGGTTTGGGAAGAACATCTACATACTCATCTCTCTAGAGCTTCAAGGAAGAAGAAGAAGGAGCAAAGCATGGAGGAGGATCTTGTTGACACATTGACCACCACAACCATGATGGGCTAGATCTCCACTTAGGGCTTGGTTGAGCCCTAAGTTTATGTATTTCTAAACCCTTGTATTTCTATTTTTGGGGAGATCAATATATTGTTGTAGTTGATGTTATAGCCTTGTGATTCCTATTTACATGCTTGATTTGACAAATCATGGCTTGTGTTGGTTTAATTCTTCCATTAACTCTATATGTTAATTATATGTTAATTCTCTATGTAATTGCATGTCTATGTGTGATTAGAGGATTATGCTCAACACTCGATTCCATTGTTATTTGGGTTTAGTGATGGCCATGGCATATGTTTTATTGGATGGGATTGCTGATTAATTTGATGGGTTATACTTTATCTTGATGGGTTGTGCTACAAATTAGTTTACTTGTCAGTAGGTAGACAATTCATTGCTTGAATTGATAATCCACACTTATTATATGCAAATTCCATTATCCTCTAGATTAATGTATGTTCTCATTAGATGCAATTGTGGGTAGTTTGATGGAGTATGCTTAGGCTTGATGGGTTGTTTTACACCCTAGTTTACATGTCATTATTAGTGGTGATTCCAATAAATTCTAAGAATTCTCTTTTATCTCTTAAACCCTTAACTCCAACTTAGTTTATTTTTATTGCATTTTAATTTAATTGTTCACTAGCTTAATCAACTAACCATCTCTTTTATTCTCTCTTATTGTAATCACCTGTTAAAACCAATTGTCTTATTTAAATCCAAGCCAAAGGTCTCTTGGGTTCGATCCCTACTGATTATATAATTCATTATAGTAGTAGTGGTTTTTATAAATTTAAATTTGACTCTTTGATAATTATTTGAAAAAGGCTTTTCCTAAACCACATATTAAAACATCTCATTTTGATTAAAGGAAAAATGACCCCCTCAAAGGGGCTTGATCACTCCATATCAGTTTAAATAATTTTCTAACACCATCACACTAAAATATAAATATCTCTTAGTATGATGGAAATCTGAGAATGAAATTAATACCATTGAAAAGAGGACGAAAAATGCCCCGAATTTTTTTTTTTCTAAATATATTTCTCGATTTATTCAAATCAAAATACTTCAATTTACACCCAGGATCTCAAAAGAAAAACTCTTTTATTGATACAATATCAATTCCTCAAATAAATATACAAAAATCTCTAAATAAAATAATTTAATTCCTCAACTCTAACTCTTTCACCTAAACCCGCAACTATGAATCCAAGTTCATCCTCAGTACCTGAAACTGTAGGGGGGTAAGACAGTAGGAAAAACCATAATAAGGATTTCAAAGAGTTTCATGATAAATTTGCTTCACAAAAATATATATATATACTTTTAAACAAAATACATATATGTAATTTTAGCAAAATAACAATTAACAAAATATTTGAATTAAAATCATCCAGGTATGATGATCCCTACACTGATAAATAATGACTGAAATATCAAGCTCTCTCTGCGTCTCTTTGAACTTTCGGCCCTCCTCTCTGTGCCTTCACAAATTTTCTCTTCTGTTTTTTCTATTCTTACTAAAGTCACAAACTATACAATTATATAGAGGCAATCCCCACTGACACTCAACAAATATCACTACTGTTCACCATACAAATATAAATATCAAAGATCAAAAACATAGTGGACCCGCCACTTTCATCATTAATCCTATCTTCTCATTCATCTTTTTCCTTATCATTTCTGCACACAAATATCCCTTCAAAATAAGCAAGCCAACGTCAAAGAAAAACATTAGTGGGACCCGCGCATCATCACCCAACCTCATTTATCTTCTTTTCTCTTTGCTTTTCCTACTAATTCGATTGTAGCTCCCAACAAACGATAAACATATATATATATATCATCAAAAGGTAATTCAAGCCTATTAAACCTCTTTTACATCAAGTGGGACCCATGTGCACATCATCATAATATCACAATTTCATTTCTATCTTCATTTTCCCTTCTTTTTTTCGGCAGCCTCCATTGGGCACACACAAAACTATATATATATATATATATATATCACATGTGCATGCAAGAAACTCAAGTCAAAACCCACTTCCCTTCATCATTTTCGCTGGCATTATGCTCCATCCATCAAATTGCTTCACCAAATATATATATAATGTGTATACAAAATGCAACCAACCCAAATCAACTTTCTTTATCTCATTTTCCCACCAAAATCGGCACACTTGCTGCCATGATACCAACTTTATATACATATATATACAAAACTAAAATCAAAACCCATTAAAATCCATAAGTGTGGGTAAATCCAATCAACCCAATTTAAATCATAAAATGATATTATAAATTAAATCATAACTGTAATCTCAATTCAATAATCAATGTCTCAATTTCTAATCAGTAAGTCTCCAATTTAAATAATCAATCACCAAAACTCTTGGGTAAGTCTCAAATTAAAACAAAATAATTAATTTCAACAATTAAAAATCATGAAATTAATAATAAAGTTCAACTCTTAAAAATTAGGGTAATTAATAATAAAGTTCAACTCTTAAAAATTTGGGTTGTTACATCAACGGTCCAGATCCGAGTGTGCACCACTCTCCATGGCCTGTGCTACACCAGATCAATTCCTTATTGACCAGACCATTTCTATGGTCCAAATGACCATAAACACCAAAATCTCATACACCGCACCACACTGAATCATCCATCCCTCATCATCACCGTCTAAGGGTCAAGATCTGCGTGTACACACTATTACCTATGCCGCGCCGCACTGGATCAATTCCCTATTGAGGCGCCGATTTCACAGATGCCAGTGTGTGTATATTTACATATAATACTATATAAATAGTATATATTTATATATAATTTTCCAACAATTATAGGAAAATAAAATATAATAAATTCTTAAAAATATAGAAAAATACCAAAAAATTCTAGAAAATTACAGAAACTTTCAGAACTTCTATAAACCCTAAATAACCCTATTGGGTCATAGATCATGTAATAACCCTAGTTTTCAAAAGGATAAGATTGGAATTTAAATTTGTTTCTATGTGTCAAATTGTTTATTGAATAGTGGTTTATTTTGTTTTACTTAAATGAATTATTTTTTTTTTTATTGTTTGTATTTGTTTTAATTATTGTATTTAAATTGTGTGGTTTGTTTAATGATGTTATTTAAGTGTATTTTATTTCTTTTAATTGAACTACTTGTTTTAATTGTTTTAAATGGTTTACTGGTTTATTTAATGGAATTAATTCGGTTACATTAGTATTTATAATTGTAATATTAAATTAGGGTTTTAGTTTTATGGATCACGTTTTTGGCTGACTAGGGTTTTAGTTGGGTTTTCGGTTTTCATTACATGAAGACTTAGGGTTTATATTTGTCTATATATATACTGTTATAAGTTTACAAAGGGGTTTGGAGAACTCTGTTCGCGTACAGAGACATAGAGAAACAGAGAGGGAATTGTGAGAAACAGAGAGAGTTTAGTTAGGATTTCGGCTATGAACCAAAGCTGAATCAAGGAGAGGAAAAAGGAGTGCTGCTCGGGGGTTGAACCTAGGGCAACAAAGGAGTGGACGACACTCAAGGGGTTGCCGGAAAGTTTAGACAAAGGATGGTTAAAGGTTTCAAACTGAAACCTTAAGAGGCAAGTTCTTTCCTTTGTCTCTCCCGTTACCTGTGTTCTGTGCATCCTTAGACTGTCTCTAGGGTTTAATTAATCAGTAACTGGGATTTATATGTTTACAATATGCTATATTGATGATCTGTAAGTGTTGAATTAAATTCTATTACAGTTAGTGCATGTTTAGTTCAGTTCGTTTCTTTAAGCATGCTAAATTGGTATTGTTATTGGTTATTGTAATTGCTTCTAATCACTTTAAACAAACCATGGGAATGATACTGGGATTAGATAAGACTCCTAAGTTCAGTATAGAAGAAGAACATAAGAGGTGGAAGCGACCGGAGACGAGGCAAAAGGCCGTAGAAGTTGCAGAAGTGCAGACGGCTCTCAAATGAGTGAGAGCCGGCTCTCCAAAGGAGAGAGCCGGCTCTAGGGCAAGGAGAGCCGGCTCCCCTTGTGGGAGAGCCGGCTCTAGGCTAGGGAGAGCCGGCTCCCTCTTGTGGGGAGCCGGCTCCATGCAAAAAAATGCACCTATAGGTGCAGTTCTGAGGTTTTTTTGAATTTTTGGGGCTGTGGGGCAAATCTGGAATTGTAATTGGGCTTCTATATAATTTTAAATAACATGTTTAAGTCCCAAGATGGTTAGTTTATTCAATTTAAGCTAAATTGACATCATGAAATTTAAATCGCTTAATTGTATGCTGTCCATGGAAGTGAAGGATTTAACTGTAGGTTGCTGTTCTAGCAAGTATTACGGGTTGGTATGATTATACTCTAAATGTAATTTAGTATAATATGCTCTATTAGGTATCGGATTTGTAATATATCAGTCCCTGGATTGTTAGTTATTTAATCGCATACTGTAACCGGATAGGGAATATTTAACTGCTTGTTGTGAGTCTAGCAAGTTAAAGGATCGGTATGATTGTACTCAAATATAACTGAATGTAATATGTGTGGTTGGTTTTCTAGTTTAAATTATATTATTCTCGAATTTATAAATTGACACTTTACTATTGATAATGTTGTCAACTGCTGGACTGTATTATGGGTTAGTTGAACTTTAAGTTAGATAAATTAAAGTATCAATGACATGAATGGATTCTGGATTGTAATTTGATGAAACATTAAACTTTATCTCATTAATTACATGGATGGATTCTAGATTTTAACTAGATGAAATATTAAACTTTGTCTCGTTAATTACATGGACGGCTTCTGGATTTTAACTTGACAAATTAGTAAATTTTGTCTCGATTAATGACATGGATGGATTCTGGATATTTAGTTGATGACTTGTTTAATTTCTGTGTTTGTCGACTATATGGATAATGTGAACTTTATTTGATGTACTGCTTATAATGATGCATCATTTACGGATCATATGCATGGTATGTACCGGTATGGGATGGTGACATACGGAGGGACGGATTAGATCAAAACACTAATTCCAACCCATTCATACATACGAAATGGATTAACTAAAACAGTTAAATTCTACATGGTTTCATATCCTGTCAACTAAAACAGTTGAATGACATACTGGATGGTTGTTTATATTTCTGCGTTAAGATGGATAGGGTTTTAACTAAAACGTTTAAATCATGTTATATGTTGTGTCTTGACCAATGAACTATTGACCGGCACAACATTGTATTTGGAATGAATTTATATATATAATTGGAGTAGGGATTTAATTAAAACATTTAAATCCTAATTATGTGTCGTGTCATGGCAATGAATCAGTTGAGCGGCACTACATTGGTTTGGATAGGAATTTATATATATAAATTATGGTACCGCGATTTGAGCTTGAGTCTCATAGTCGACGATTAGGGTGCGTATATGCAGTAGGATGCGTAGCTAGCTATGTTGGTTGAGGTATACCCTGTTAGGCTTAGGTAGTCATGCCCACTCAGGTGCGTATTGCACGTTACCTTCTATTCAGGTTGAGACCCTCAGCATAGTTAGTGAGAGTCCTGTAGTATGGATATATATTTATCTATTACGGACTATATAGATATGTTTGAGACGTCTAGGATGTATCTGCGTATCGGGTCTCTGTTTGGATTGTAGTTAGGATAGAACTTGTTCGTGGGCCTGACCCACTATTATTTTTCAGGTAACGAACGGTTCTAGGTCTTAGAGCTTGTTCGTGCTGAGCAGAGACGACTACTCATTCTACCGACGATGTAGGGGGGTTCTTCATGGTTTAGCAGTGGACTTCTTTTTAGTTGTTCGCTTTCCAGTATTGGCTTTTGATTAGGGGTCTACCAGATGGATTCCCGAGTTGTATTATAATTGGAGAAGTTGGATGTAACAGACTAGTTCTTATTTATAAGATTTATTCTAAAGTTTTAATAAAGGATTTCCATTTAGTTTCTTTTCAGTAAAATTTTATTCATTCCTGTTTTCTATATTGTATTCTGTGTTCGTTAAATGCTAATTTGATTGATATCCTTGGGTAATCGGGCGTGAGCCTGGCCAACCCGCATCCGGAAATCCGGGGGTATCACAGATCAAACATATAGTTGATTTTAAATATATACAACCTATATATATAATTAAAATTCAACAATTCCAAAAATAAAAATAATAATAAAACATGTTTTTAATATTCCGATTTAATTCTGATTTAATCAAATAAAATTAATCTAAACATTGATACTCAAGGTGAAATCCTTATGAGTTCTAAGAGCAGAGTTAGAAAATAATTTGCTTGAATGTTTCGAAAAGAAACCGATGCTTCAAGTTTTGATTGTCTCTTCCAATTTTGACGTCTTCTTTCTTAGATTCGGCCTCCTCCTTGTCAGCCTTCTCTTCTTCTCTCTTTACCTCTCTTATTTGTGTAAACTTTTAACCCTAAAGCCTTATGTGTATATTTATACACATTAAAATCCAAATCCTATTCATACTAGGACTAACAAAAAAAAGAAATAATAATTATCTTAAATAGTATATATACACATATATTATATAATATATATGTATATTTTCTTTCGTTATAATCCTTAACTAATTAAATTATACACACACACACACACATATATATATCAATATATATATATATAT